CTCTCTCTCTCTCTCTCTCTCTCTCTCTCTCTCCCTCTCGCGGCGCTGCTCCAGCCCCCCCCCCCGGCCGCCCCGAGTCGGGCGTTCTGAGCCCGCCCTCGCACGGGGCCCGCTCCGGCAAGCCCCCCAGAGCCCCTCCTTGGCGGAGGGCGGAGGGGTTTCCGCGCTGCCGCCCTCGGCGCATCCAATCTGGTCGCCGCAGCCGCTGCTCCGCGGCGACTCCGCGCGGGGCCAGCGCGGCGCGGCTGCGGCGATGCGCGGGGCGCCGCGCGGGGCAGGCATCTACGCTGCCAGTGCGCAAAGCCAACGTCCGAAGAGGAGAGGGGGCCAGGGCGCCCGGCGAAAGCTCTCCGCCCTGGCCCGCAACGTCGTCGAAGCGCCCGCGCGTCTCGAACAAGCGAGATAAGCATATGTTGAGGGGCTTTCCGTCGCCCGCTCCGCCGACAGCTAACGCCCGCGCGGCGGCGGCGAGAACGGGGCCGGCAGAAGGCGCCGAGCCTGCCCGTCGCCGCATACTTCCCTTGAGGAAAAGAAAGAATAATACATGGAGAAAAGAGAAAGAAGAAGAATAAGAAGAAGAAAAAAGTTTCGCCGCCCGCTGCCCCTCGCAATTTCCGGGCCCCGAGGCCGTCGGCAGAAATTGCGACGCGGGGGCGAAAGCTGCCGCGCGGCGGCGGTCCAGGAGGCCTGGGACTCCGAGGCTTGAAGCTCGGAGGTCCGACAGGCCGCGCCCTCTCCCCAAGCCGGCGACGCCTCGCGGGAAGACGGGCGAGCTCCGAGAGCCAACGTGGATTCGCGCGCCAAACGCAGCGCGCCAGATGCGCCCCCCTCCTGGACGAGGCACGCGCGACCATCATTTTACTTTCAGTATCCAACGGGAGCGGGCCGACAAATAGAATCAAACATCGTGGGTCGCAGCTGTGGATCTGAAGAAAGCGTTCGACGCGGCGGCGCGCGGCAGTCTGCGGACAGCAGTGCGCGACCAGGGAAAGCAGCAAAGGTGATCCACTTACTTCGGCGTCCAAAAGCTGTGCTTTCGCACGCGCGCTCCACCAGCAAAACAGCGCAAGGCGACCCTCTCAGCTTGTCGCTCTCTCACATATCCTACAACCGCTACTTCGGATTGCCGGCTCCACAAACGAGGTGTTCAATTGGCGCATCACCACCGCTTCCGTTCGCACCAACCTCAAAATAGCAAGCGACATCCTGCTGGCCAGCCAAATTCTGCCCAACCTGAAGACAATGCTGGTAGACTTGTTCAAGTCAGCGAAACCCCATGGCCTCGAAATCCATCCAAAACGAAGAACACGACCCATCAATTGCGCACCTGGGTATATGCATACCACGTGGCACGCGTTGACATCGACGTATTGCCCCATGCCGGCAAACTTCAACGGCGCTTCCGCGACAGAGGTCCATCACGACATGCAAGGTCACAAACAAGAACTCACGAGCAACCGCAGACAACTCAGCCACGCATTGGGGCTGTACCTCGGCACCGTCATACCCACTATGGTGCACGTGCCTCTCTGAGACAACGGCTGCGCCGAACACAAGAACGAAGAATGCGGATGAGCGCGGGGGCGCCCCAGCGGCGCACAGGGTCGTCTCACACCGCGCCCACCCCGGCGATAAGCAACCCGCACAGATGCAACCTCTGCGCATGAGTGCCCGAAACCAAGCAGGCGACAAACGCCAAAACGTGCCGAGGTCTGTTCCGACATGAGACGAAAAAAGACTGGAAGGGCCGAGAATCCCAGGAGAACTTTCGCATCCCATGCGTTGCACAGCTGAACCGATTTGTGTCCTGGCGCTTGGCCGCATGAAATGCGAACCGTTGTGAAAATGTTGCAGGCCATGCCAGTGACGACGCCCGCGTCTCTCTACCTCTAACCTCACTGCGCGTTGCCCTCAAGGAACACGCGTCTCTGGGGGGGCATTCCGACTCCTAGTGCGGGCTCTGTTCCTCAGGGGATGGGCACACGCAGATAATGTCTCAGACACACTCATCCCTTTCACAAGTTTCAGCTGGTATTGCTTTGTTTGTTGGGGAACGTGACCGTCCTTAGCAGAATCGGCTGGGGGCTACGTGAGCGAAATAACATACGCAGGCAGGTCCGCGTCCTATGCCGGTGGCGACAACAACGTTTGCCAAGACAACGACTTACAGTGCTTCTAGTACGGCAGAGACATGTCGATACTCCCCATTGGTATTTGTACTTGATATCTATCCGTCTATTGTCGAAAGTTCTTATTTCCTACATCGAGGAGCACATCGAAGCGAAGCGGCTGTCTGCAATGGCCTTCCTTCTCCTGCGCGCTTCTTAACGCTCATGACCACCAGCGGTGCGTCGCCTGTCGCCCATTCGCTCTGGAACGGCATCGGCGGACATTGCCACTGATTTGCATGCAAGCAGGACGCATGGGCGAGCAGGTGAGGCCGTGGCCACTGTGCGAATCTTAGGCCAGATAGATCTTGGCCACTACCCATGTTTCCGCCTGTCTCGCTGGTGCGCCCAGGTTCAGGTGCTCCCAATCGCGAAAAGTAGCCTATTCTGGGCGGGGCAATAAGGTTATGATGATTTGTTTGTGGATGAAATTTGTCGTTGTCTGTGAGTCACGTCTTGGAATAGCGCTGCTCGAACAGCGTCCAGAAGTCAGGTTACTCTTTTTCTTCCCCTTCTCACAGCAGGTGAATGGGCACAGATGTCTCTAATCTGGGGGGTCATGAACCCGAGCAAGGCAGAGAACCGGAGGTTTCCCCTCCCTCCTTCCCGTGAATTCCTCTTGTGCTACATGTGAGAAACCTCGGAGGGGTGTCACAACCCCCCGAAAAGGCACCTCTTACTACCGAGCATGTCAAAGATGTGCTCGAGGTGGCCAGATTCACGCCCCGAATCGCGAAGAATAAACCATGTTGGGCGGGCGCATACCTCCCTCATCGCGATGGGCAGCCCATGTTGGGCGGGGTAGCATTCTTTCCCCATCCCGTCTCATGTCTGGGGGGGCCGCGCTGTCGGTGCTCCAGCGACTCAGGGCAGTTGAGCCGCGAGGGCCCCAGTTGTCGAGCTCACTTCGTTTACGTTGGTTCCCCCTTTGGCCCGTGCCCGCGCCCCTCGGGTCAAATCGGAGGACTTCTGCCTCCCCACAGGCGCGCGTCGACATTCTCCTCCTCGCATGCACTCTCACAGACTTGCTTCCTCTCCTGGTCGTCGTTGTCAGGTCCACGTCGCGTTCTTGTCCTACATCAGCCGGCCACAAGCAACCCCCCTTCCCACAGGTGTACATCGTGACGCTTTCCTGCGACCTCCTCCCTCTGAATGTTTCCTCTGTGATTTTGTTTCTTCCTTTCGCGCCTGCCAGGGCCTGTCATCTTCTGTGTGCTTACGTCACCTTGTGTCGCAATGGAGAGTTTGAAGATGTTGCAGGCCATGCCGGTGGCGACGCCCGCGTCTCCCTACCTCTAACCTCACTGTGATCTGCCCTTAAGGCGCACGCGCCTCTGGGGGGCATCCCGACTCCTAGTGCGGGCTCTGTCCCCCAGGGCGGGGGGGCACATGCAAATAGGCTCTCAGGCACACTCATCCCTTCCACAACCACACACACCGACCCGCTGGACACAGCGCGCTCTCAACTGGAACCCTAAACTCATTGCGAAACAGCAAGGGAGGCGACGACAAGGTGGACAACAGAAGAGGTGGTACAACGACATAGAGAATGTGTACAGCCAGCAGCAACCACCTGGCGGCGAAGCGGAACAACACATTACTGGAAACACAGAGCAATCGCGGTGGCAACAGCACAAACAAAAACGATGTCACATGGCTTACGACAACATTGGACAAGGGCTGGTGGGATCTGCAGGAACATGGTCTTATAATCACTTTTGGATTGCGCCGTGAAGGAGCTCCGTCTCGCCATCGCTCCGACGTCCATTCCCCGTGCGTCTATTTCTTCGCGAGATGGCCAAAAAGGCTCCTCGATGGTCCCCCTCGAGAAAAAACACACATGCCCGAGCGATGCCAAGCAATAGGCTGATGGAGTGAGCGGCCACGGCCGCCCCTTGTAGGCCGCCAACCGGCCCGTGCCCTTGCAGGGACGACTCGCGTGTCTGTCGTTCATTCCTCCCCGCCCTCGTGCTCGTCCTCCTTCGCCCTTCGCCCCCTCCCCCCTCCGCATCCCTGTCGGCGGCGAGCGAGGGGGGAAGTGAGAAGGAGAGAGCTTTTCCAGAAGGCGGCGGGACTTCTCAGAAGCCCTCGCATGCCAGCCTGGTCATTCATCTCCCTGGCGATCTGCGACTCAGGCGTCCTGTCCAGCCACGTGGTCCAACGCTTGATGGCGCCAGACCCCACGACGTTGCTGGTGTCCTGAGAGGTGCACAGAGGCAATGGGAGGGAGGAGGGGAAAGGAGGCCGATGGGGGAGGGAAGGACGCTGAACATTGGCAATACGCTTTTGCCGAATGTGGTATGGCATGGCGGCACAAAAGAGAGATCCATCTACCTGGTTTCGCATGGAACGCCGAGGCATGACGCGCTTCTACCATGTAAAGCCCCCGACTGGAGTGGAAACAAACGTATGAGCTTAAAAGTGCGCCGCGTCCACGCGGGAGCGCAACTCGCGGGAAGCTCTGTGCTTTACATACGATCAGAACGCATACGACGGATGTGTTGTGAGGATGCGAGAGCCTTGGGAGGCCATGTCGACGACTTGCGAGCGAGGCTGACCAGCGAAAGTCGCCAAGGATGGCCCGAAGGGGGCAAGGATGCAAGGGTAACCCTGGAAAGTCACTCATCATTGCGATGCGCTTGGAGTGTAGTTCGAGGCACTCGTGAGGAACACCTCTAGCGTTAGGTCGGGCGTGAACAAAACAAAAATTAGCCTGGCGAATAACTCAACCATATACAATTGTTAATGACGCAGTTGTGAGTATCGTCTTCCGTGGAGCTCCCTCTGGGGCCACGAAACGCTGCACTGGGCGGGGACCCGCCAATTCGATGAGCGGGGAACCGCATGCGAACCCTGCTGCCGGGGCTCTCGGTGGAGCTCCCTATGGGGCCACGAACCGTGAGGTGTGTGCCGAAATGGACGCGCAGTGGGCGGGGAACTGAATGTGAACCCTGCCGCTGGGGCCTTCGGTAGAGCTCCATATGAGACCACGAAATGTGTGAGGCGTGTGCCGAAATGGACATGGGGTGGGCGGTGAAACGCACGCGAACCCTGATGTTGGGTCCCTCGGTGGACGCGCGGTGGGCGGGGAACCGTATGCGAACCCTGCCGCTAGGGCCTTCGGTGGAGCTCTTTATGGGGCCACGAACAGTGTGAGGGGTGTGCCGAAATGGACCTGGGGTGCTCGGGGAACCGCATGCGAACCCTGCTGCCGGGGACCTCGGTGGAACTTCCTATTGAGCCACGAACCGTGTGAAAGGCGTGCCAAAATGGGCGCGTGGAGGGCGGGGAACTGCGTGCGAACCCCGCCGCTGGGGCCTTCGGTGGAGCTCCCTCTGTGGGGTCACGAACCGTGTGAGTGGTGTGCCGAAATTGACCTGGGGCGGGCGGGGAACCGTATGTGAACCCTGCTGCCGGGGCCCTCGGTGGAGCTCCCTGTGGGGCCACGAACCGTGTGAGGGGTGTGCCGACATGGGCGCGCGGTGGGCGGGATGATGTTGGTGGTAGTGATGGTGATGGTGATGGTGATGGTGATGGTGATGGTGATGGTGATGGTGATGATGATGATGATAATGATGATGATGATGATAATGATAATGATGATAATGATGATGATGATGATGATGATGATGATGATGATGGTGATGGTGATGGTGATGGTGATGATGATGATGATGCTGATGATGATGACGATGATAATGATGATGGTGATGGGGAGGGGGCAGCGGGAGGAGCAGGAACGCGGGGCGCTGTCTCTTCACCACGAGGACCCAACACCACAGGATGGTTGGGACATATACAAACATAGTCCAACAAAAAATGAAACAATCGTCCCCTGACGATATTGTGACTATGTTTGAAAATTGCTCCTGTAGAGGGACATGCCCGACTAAACTCTAGCGCATGTGAACCACCGCGGCGCAATAGGCCTGGGGCGGTTTCGGGACCCTGTCGAGCCAGGATGGGTCTCGCGGAGGCGTCGGAGGCCCTTTTGCTCGGGGTCTCCTTGGGCAAGCCAGGGCCCGACGATGCCTTTTTTTTTTCTAGTGTTCTGTGGACCGTGCGAGGCCTGCAGGGGATATACGTATATGTAGAATTATAAATGCCCGGATATGTGTGTGATATACATATGTACACATATATATATATATATATATATATGATAGATAACTGGCATACGGGCTCGACTGGTTGTGACACCATGCGGGAAATGTGAAAAAGGGCCTCCGGGCGTTTCGGGACGCTTTGGGCTCTGAAACTCGTTCGGAACTGTCTGATAGTCGTTGCGGAACTCTTGGGGGTGCTTGGGCCGTGTTGGCGGCTCCTGGGGCCACCGTAGAACGGAAGAGGGAAAAAGGGCGGGGGCGGGGCGGCAGCGTGTGGAAGGAGGGGAAACTTGTTCTACGGTTTGGTTTCAGACAGGTGTCGACGTAGGCCCAGACTGGCACCTGGTGTGCGGGACCCGTGGTGTGGAGGCCATGCCCACACACTGAAAAGACTGGGGATGTATGTATGACAATGTGGGCACCGTGGAGAAGCCGCCCGTTGCGCGCCCCCCTGCATGGGACGAAAGTGCGGAGCAGTACGAACACGAACTTATCAGCGATTAGCGCGTGGGTCGAGTCAAAGGCAGAAAACGAAAACTTGTTCGAGTACACAAATGACGGTGATGCCCGTGCCGATGATGATGAGTACGGTACCGCTGATGAATACATATTAGCTGTGGTGCTGAAGGCGATAAGGACGAGGGGGAAAGTGAGGAGGGGAACACTGGTGAGGCGGATGTGATGATGGGGAGGAGGAGGAGGAGGACGAGGAGGTGGAGGAGGAGGAGGAGGAAGAGGAGGAGGAGGAGGAGGAGGAGGAGGAGGAGTCATGGACTCAAGGATCCAGGAGGTGCGCGGTGCACACCGCACGCATGCGGGCCGCGCCGGCACGCAACCGGCACCCTTGGCCTCCCCCTTTACGGGAGGATGCGGGCCCAAAGGCGCGCGCACCGACGAACAGGGGATAGGCAGCTACCCCGTCGCCCAGCGAGCTGCTTCCAGCCGGGAGGGCGTCGTGCGTACAGGGACGGTCGTTACACCCCGTCACTGTCAACCCCTGCCCAAACAGCTGGCATGCGCAACTGGGTTTGTTCTTCGGGGTGAGCGGCAACAAGGCCACCATGGGACGTACGGGCCACAGGGCCCCGCCTCTCAAACAAACGAGCAAACCCCGCGCCTGGTATCCATCTCCAGGGCACAGAACGTGCGTAGCGCCGCCACGGGCAAAGTGCCACGTGGCTGGAACCAAAAGGCGCGAGCCGGTTTAGCTGTCCCCAATCACCGCATGCAGTCGACAATGACGGTGTACCCGAATGTGCGGCGCTGACACCCAGAGACGGGTGCCAGGCCACCACCCCTGGGACATTGAGGAGGAGGAGGAGGAGGAGGAGGAGGAGGAGGAGGAGGAGGAGGAGGGGGAGGAGGAGGAGGAGGCTGATGATGCTGATCGCAATGATGGGGATGAGGTCGTGGAGGAGGAGGGGGGGGAGGATGCGGATGTTGATGCTACTGATGGTGAGGCTGACGGAACGGAGCAGGGAGAGAGGGCACGGCACGCCGTCCTGAACGGTGTACTGGACCCCGTAGTGGGGCAGCACTCGGACCTCCGCCGACCGCCCGCCCTCCGCCATCGCTCCCTCGCCGCGCATTCCCTCACCCCCCTCGCGGGGAGACGTAACACTCGGATTCGGGGGACTCGGGTTGGCCTGACGGGGCCATCATCAAAATGACGGAGAGAGCGTGATCCACCGCCGCTTTACTGTGGAAAATCCCCCTCCCTCGTCCTCTGGAGCCCGGGGGCCCCCTCTCCCCCCCTCCGAAAATCCCCCCCCTCTGCTGGACCCCCCCCTCCCCTCCCATGGCACCCCCCCCCCTCCCTAACCCCCCTCCCCCCCTCCCCTCGAAAACCGGGGGGATCACTACCGGTTCGAACCCCACCCCCTCGAAAACCGGAGGGGGGGGTCACTACCGGTTCGAACCCCTCCCCACTCCCCCTTCGCCGCCAGCACACGACTCCCGGTCCCTACTTGAATGCCCGTGGGGGTTGCTATCCAGATAGGTGCTTTCACATGTGGATAAGTCTTTTACAGAAGCCACTTAGCCGTTTACAGAAACAGCTTAGCAATCGAGCGAAACAGGTTAGCTAACCTAGTTTCGCTAAGCAGGTTAGGGGATCCGTAGACCCTTTTAGCTAACCTGTGTAGTAAAGCCAAAAGAGACCCTCAACAGCGTGCGCGTGAGGCCCCCAGAGAGCAGCAACGGCGGCAGCGGGGGGTTGAGACGACGACGACGACGACGACGACGACGAGGAGGACGACGACGACGACGACGACGACGACGACGACGACGACGACGAGGACGAGGACGAGGACGAGGACGACGACGAGGACGATCCTCGCACCATCCCTCTCGCCCCGCGCGCCTCGCCCTGCGCGCGCCTCTGCGCCGAAGGGCAGGCCAGGACGGTCCGCCAAAGGGGGGGAGGGAGGAGGAGGACGGCGGAGGCAACGGTGGCCGAAACGTTTTCCAGCGCAACTCCCCAAACGGTGAGGGTATCCCCAAATGATATAGCAGAGTATATCAAAGCCCAGCCCTCTTGCGAAGCCTTGGTGGACATATGATTTGCGACGCCTCTCCCGAAGACACGGAAAACAATGCAAGATTCAATGATACAGGATGTTGGCATCATGTGCATATCATCGAATTTCACACACTTGGCAACGTTGCCTTGAATTGCAATCGTCCTCCAAACGGATGTGCACGACTGCGCCTCTGGTTGAAACGTTAACTGAAAAAAAGCAAGCTACTTCCCCAAAGCAGACCGTGCCACGGCTATCGAGCGCGACGACATCACCTACTGGAACTCCCCTACATTTTACTATAGCTTTCCTACTGACCTTCAAACTCTCCAGGGGCAACATGCCCACAAACGGTTCCAAGAGCGAGCGAACTGTCTTGTTCGGCACCTTCGGTTCTTCGAGATCTGGGCGAAGCAACGGGCAGTTCTCAAGCTCCATCAAGTGAAAGGATGTTTTATCATCGAGCATGCCTTTCTCCAAAGAAGTGGTGTTCCTCCTACCTTGCGCCATGCGCTTCGCTTGAACACACTGTGTTTTCGTTCCTGCAGGAACGTCGTCAGTAGACATTGCTGCCTCTCGAGCTGATCGGCCAGGTGCGTCGCATAGTGGTCTTTGGGGATCCACAGCTCCGACGTATACGCAATCTTGCGGAGCTGGAGGTGGGAAAAAATCGCATCGCGGAGCTCGTCTGCACTGATCACCCCACTGTTGGAGATAATCAGTAAGCCCACGACGCGGCACAGAGCAACGCAGCTAGCCACCTCATTCTGTAACACCCCCCTCTTGGCCACTACGTCCACCACGAACTTCTCGAGGACGGGCGCCAGCGACACCATCGTGGAAGCCCCGCCAGACAACTTGCCCTTGTGGAACGCCAGGTCTCCGCAGGCATATGACCTTGGCCATTTCCACTGCTGCAAGTACTCGGCCAGCTGCACGTAGCCGAGATTGCGCTCCCCAAGCCGCCAGAGGAAGAAGCAGCCAACCTCGTTCGTGAACGTTCCTGTGATCATGTAGCAGCGCATCCCATCCCAAGCAAACACTCACCAGTCGTATGTCCAAATCAGGACATTGAAGTAATGACCGCGGCTGGTAGTTGAAACTGAACAAGACCTGCATCCTCCTCATCTCTGCCTGGCTGGAGTTCACGCTGTGCTCCTTGAGCCGTCGCTGCGCGGCCTTGATGGACTCGTCAGTGTGCAAATGGAAGAGCGCGTAATTTATCTCATGCATGGGGTGGAGATAGCCCGTGCTATCGGGCAGGAGGTCGGACTTGGGCATGATAATGTTCCTGCAGAGGACGCGTGGTTTGATGCCCCCTTCTCCCTTCGCCTCTGTAACGAGTTCATGCCCCCGCTCATCTTGGATGAGCGCTTGCAGGGACCCGCGGGCGAGGCATGGCTGGCCGTCGATGAGCAGGGCGGTCCCATGGCGGAGATCAGTGCCATCAGGGGCACCGAAAAAAATATTTCAGGACACGCCGCATCACATAAGATATGCCACCTTCGATGGTCTCCACCACCGACGACCTCACAACCGACCAGGTAAACCACGCCGACTCATTAGATAAGATTGGCCACCAGAACTCGCGCAGGGACCAGGAGATCGCGTGGGCCTTCCGATCCTGACGAGAGGCGAGGACGCTACCTGGGGCGATTTCGTCCGAATGCAGAATCACCGACAGCAGGTTCTGGCCCTTCTGCAGACAGCTCAGCAACATTGACTTGAATACATCAGGCGTGCGGCTCCCACTCTCAAGGACACCGAGCGGGCGCTGATCCCAGATGTCCGTCGGGGCGCCGTCAATCTCGATCGGGCAAGGCTGCAACAGTGGACCGAAACTTGTAGCTTGCTGGCCAATTGCCGCCCTATGTCGCGCTCGGGCCGGCCTAGACCAAGCTGGCGGTAGACCTCGCTCGTTCGCTCGGCCTAAGACCGCCTCCATTGCTGAGGCCATCGTGTGTGACTTCTTGCCGAACGTAGTGGGTCTCTTTTTTATGGCGGCGGCGGCCATGGTCGCAAGCGCAACCGCGCTCGAGCCAAAATGGCTAGCTACACGGGGGAGGAGGAGGAGGAGGAGGAGGAGGAGGAGGGCGGTGGATGAGGGAATCGGGGAGGAGGCTGGGGGAAGGGATTGCGACGTATTGCGCGCTTGCCCTCTTGCAGGGGCCTTCGTCGCCACTGCCCGATTCGCCTCGAGAGCCCGGTCAGAACTCGCCCCAGGGACGCTCGTCAGAACTCTCCCCATTGGTCAGAACTTGTCAGCAGTCGCATTTGGTTTTGCCCCCCGTTTCCCCCCTCTGCCCCCCCCCCCCCCCCCTCCCCCCCCCCTCCTGCTCGCCTCCCCCCCCCCCATCGCTGGCCCCCCCTTCTGCCCCCTCATCCCCGCGGGGTGGGGGGGGGGGGCGGCGGTGGCCGTCAAACCACCTGTTGCCGGTGTGTTTGATGTTGTTTTTGGGGCGGTCAGCTGTTCAATTCCGAGCGCTGCTGGTGGTTTTGATGTTGTGTTTGGCGGGGCGGTTAGTTGTTAAAGCCGCGCGTTCTGGGTGGGTGGTCCAAGTTTGTTGGTGTTGGTTTGTGCGTGGTGATTGTGCGTATTGTTGTCTGCTATGTACTTTGTCTTGGTGTTGCATTTTTTCCTCGCGCGTGTGTTTGCCTGTTTTATTCGGTTGTGTCTTGTGTCTGCTGTTACTGTTTTGTGCGTGTTGTGTTTGTTTTGTGTTTTTTTCTCTGCTATCGTATCTGACTGCCGTCGGATACTCCTCGCAGTGAGGGGGCAATCTGCACGGGAACCTCATCCACTGCTGGCAAACCGAAGAGCGGCGGCACATTCGCGAAGCACCCCTATACGCGATTGCAACATTGCTAGAATGCGTGGACGGGCGGTGGTCTACATGGGCGTGGCTCCCTCTACTTGCCCTTCGAAAGGTTCGGATTGTAATCGTACGCTGCTGCTGCCATCTGGCACGCCTGCTTGCTGCAATCCTTGACCTGTTTCACGCTAAGCTTCGCATTCCCTGCGCGGGTCCTTGCAACTCCATAGGCCCTGCTTGCGCACGCGTTCTTCGGCCTCGTGCCGATCTCAGACGGGTCGGTCACGTCTTTGACGCTGATAATGACGCCGCCGATCTTGACGACGCCTTCGGGGCGGCACGGGCGGAGGGGGGCAAGGCCCCCATCCCCCTGTAGGGGGGCGGGGGGGGTGCTTCATGGGAGGAGTATACCCCTCCCATGAAGCACCACCCTCCTCCTATAATACTCATCCTTTCCTTTTCCGTCAGATGCGCCTGAGACTCCGCAAGGCCCGGGGGCGGCCCCCTTGGTGGGCACGGGAGGCTGGGGCGCAGCCTTAGCTTTCGCCTTGGCGTTGCCCTTGCCCCTGCCTTTGCCCCTGCCCCTGCCGCCCTTGCCGCCCCTGTCAGCCACTTTCTGCGCGGCCGCCTTGCCCGTCTTGCCCGCGGCGCTGGCCTTGCCCTTGCTCGCGAGCTGGCGGTGGCTGCCACTTGCTTCGGCCGGCGCGTTCATCCTCTGCCCAGCTCCAGCGCAGGGTCGCGGTGATCGTCTGCAAGGGGGGGTCTCACCACCGCCACCATGGCTCCCCCAGCAGGAGCGGCTGAGTCGGGCGCGGTCGCAGATCGCGGCGAATGAAAGGGAGTTCCTCCCGAGCCCTGGGGGTCGCGGCCGCCGCCGCCGCCAATGTGCAGGGTCGCTGCGCTGAGGGCCCCGTGGCTGGCAGCGCCATCCGCCTTCCGAGGCTTATCGTAGATCGCGATGCCAGCGTCGGAAGGGCCACCCGAACCGCTGGCGCCAGACATCGCGGACTGGAGCTGCCTGGCCATCTCCGTCATGAGCTGCCGGGGAGTTGGTGGGCGGGATCTGCCGCCTCGAACGAGTAGTGTGTCGACCTGGGCCCCCTCTCGGCAGTCAGGGCGTCAGTCAGCGGGGCATCGCAGTCGGGCGGCGGGGCCACAGGCTCGCCATCCTGGTAGGCGAATGCCCTGACCGAGTGCTCCAGGGATTCGTCG